TTTATTTCTCCCTCTTCAACTGTACTCCGCGTCAGAAGCTCGCGGCGGCAGAGCCCTAAGCGGGAGCCGCTCAGACCAAAACGCACGCTGACAGCGCGGCAAGGAGGCTCGAGGTGACCCGGGCCTCCCAGGAGGGCGAGCAGCATGGTGCAAAGAGAGGAAATGCCGAGGGGGTGATTTCACAGAAAGCCTCATGGCAATTCCTGCGAGGAGCTCAGATTAAAATCTGCTCCAGGCAAAGCGTGACAAAGTCCTTCTCTGGATGTGTATTACTTTGCTGCTTGAGTACTGCATAGGTCACCGGGTCAAAATTTTTACTCTCCACAGGCTCTTTATTGGTCTTGCTGTTGCTCTGATCTTCCCTTTCCTCATAGCAGAAGGTCTATGTCAAATCCACCATTTTTCTGCCCTGTTTTCTTATGCTTAAAACAAGCTTATTGATGTTGCATCATCTCATCTCAGCTGGTGACAGCTGCTGTTATTGTTTGCAGCACGTTACTGGCGCAGTGGAGGCTGGCTCTGAGCTGGCTGGTCAGGGCATTGCTGCCTGCACAACTTGAGGTCAAGAAGAGAGTCTGATGTCCTGTTACTGTTCTTCCTAGAGAGAAGTAACCTGGCAGGGGTGCGGCACATCCTCCTGGTGCTCTCGGGGAAGGGCGGCGTGGGGAAGAGCACCATCGCCACCGAGCTGGCTTTGTCTCTGCGCCACTCTGGGAAAAAGGTGAGTGAGGGTCTGTGGGATGGGGAGCTCTATGTGCTCTCCCTTCTGACCTCCATCTGGGCTTGGTTTTACTCAGCCTTTCTGCGTGTGTCTGTTCTGTGAGCACAGCGTGAAGATCCTTCATGGTGGAGGCTGCTGCCGTAAACAGAAGAGCTGTCTATAACAGAAACTTGAGTCCTTTTTTTTTTCCTGTGCTTACTTGATCCTGCACAGTCCAGCCTCTAGCAAATTGCACGGTTCACTTCCCCTTTACCCAGGAGACTAAAATGTTATTTTTGTCATGTGTAAAATGAAGGCACCAAGAAATGACTTGCTTTTTTTGTATGATACACAGCCACTTTGTGGAGTGAAGTGGGTGAGCTGAAAGACAGCATTACCGTGGGGGCAAAGGGGAGCTGCGTGGGCATGAGACAGACTGAGGATTTTTTTAAAGGCTCTGTGGAGCAGATGCCACTTAAATTCTGATAGGTCTCCTGAATAAAGATTTTCTTAAAGAGCCTCTAAATACCAAAGAGAGATTCCATGGAAGGATGGAGATCTGGGAGACCCTAGTCAAATGATACCAGTCAGAACTGGCACTTTGGCTTCTGAACTTGAGAGTCCTCTCTGTGAAGTGCTGAGAGCTGCTGGAATTCATGTGTTCCTTTCCCTTGCCCAAGGAAGGAGCGCAGCTGGGTGCTACAGTGGTGCTCAGGCCTATCTGAAAGGCTCTGCCTGGTCGCCTGCAGGTGGGGATCCTGGATGTGGACCTGTGTGGCCCCAGCATACCCCGCATGTTCAAGGTCCAGGACAATGACGTGCACCAATGCGACAGCGGCTGGGTGCCAGTCTTCGTGGACCAAGACAAGAGCATCTCACTGATGTCCATCGGCTTCCTGCTGGAGAAGCCAGATGATGCTGTGGTGTGGAGAGGACCCAAGAAAAATGGTACAGACCGTTTTTGCTCTTGGTAACAACCTTCCAGCGCTACGTGCCTTCTGCAAAACTTCCTGGAGCTGATGTTTGTTCTGTCCAGGGCCCAGGCTCTCCCAGACATGCTGTTCCTTGGCAGCCTGTGTTCAAACGTAGGCTGCAGTCTGAAAGCCTCTCTCCTGGGACAGAGGCCGGTGGCTTAGAGGCAGCTGATGTAAATGGCAGGGGGAGAGGCTGTGCTCTATCGCTGCTGGTCTCAGCTGAGACCTCATTAGCAATGAAAATATCTCCAATGTGGTAAGTCCATGTTACATTGGGTGGGTTAGGGCTGTCCCCTTGGCACACATCAGTGACCTGCTGCCTTAGTGAGGTCTCTGTATGTAGCCAGGTACTGTGGAGTCCAATTAGCCTTGGAGAGAGGGCTCCAAGTGACTTGGGGCAAGACAAGGCTCTTGCACTCCAGGGCTGTCTTCCCCTGTGTGGGTGCAGGTGGTTCAGGCTGTGCTGCATGTGCTCTGCTGACAGGTAGCCCTGCTCTCCTCTGTCCCCCCCAGGATGCCTCCTGACCACACGGCTCCCAGGACACTTGCTAAAACCTGAGATTTTTCACCCCTTTTATTTCTGCAGCTTTGATAAAACAATTTGTTGCTGATGTGGCCTGGGGGGAACTGGACTTTCTCATTGTGGACACTCCTCCGGGCACATCTGATGAGCACATCTCCACAGTGGAGGCCTTGCGGCCGTACAAGCCTCTTGGAGCAATCCTAGTCACGACACCTCAGGTAGGGCAGCGTGCTGGGTGACCTGCCCTGTCTCTGGGCTCGGTTGGTGGGGGAATATGCGCTCGAGGGTGGGTGTTTTCGCAGGCCTATCTGCAGCTACTTACTTTACATTTCTACCCCCGATGCAGCCACTGCTTGTCCCTCAGGACATCTCTGACATCTGTCAGTCACTTATGAGTCAAGGCTGCTCTCAAATCCAAGTTTGTCCGATATCTGCCTTTGTTTACACACAAGCCTGTACTCAGCCAGGGGCTGCCCAAGTGTGAGGCCAGCTGGAAAGGTGGAAGCTGAGCGCATCTGTCACTTCAGTGCAGGTCTTGCTGCAGCCACTGCCCAACCCCTTCAAACCGTGCAACACTGTCGCCCATCTTCCAGTGTGTTGCCTGTGGTCAGCTCTTCTGGAGTGCAGTGAGGACTCTTAGCCCAAGCTATGGCCAGCAATGGGGAGAGAGCCTCTCCCAAGCCCCCTTCTCTATGCGTGCTACAAACTGTCTGTGTGCGTGTATGCCTGCTCCAGAACTAGAATCTGGCCAGAGACAGACACCCCTAACCCTCGCCTGCTCTCCCCTGCAGGCAGTGTCTGTGGGGGATGTGAGGCGAGAGCTGACGTTCTGTAAAAAGACCGGTTTGCGAGTTCTTGGGATCGTGGAGAACATGAGTGGCTTTGTCTGCCCGCACTGTTCGGTGAGTTTCTCGATACTGCTGGGCTGTTATGGGTTCTTATTCATGATATGGCTGTTATATGATCTGGCACCTCAGGCTGCAAGTCAGTGAATGCTGTGAGGGGCGATGCGGTGTCCTGGGAGATGAGAATCTCCTGGCTGGAGGTTTGGAAGAAGCTGCCAGCTGTGCTTTCCTAAAGAGAGCTGTGGGAGGGCAGGGGCGAACACAGTGCCCTGAGGTTAGAAGGTGGAGGAAGTTAGCTTCGCTCACACCCAACCAGCGCCTGTCCTGTTGCACAGGGCTCTGCCCACTGGTGTTTATGACTAACTGCTATTTCTTTTCCTCCTTTAGGAGTGCACAAACATCTTTTCCAAAGGGGGAGGTGAAGAATTGGCCAAGCATGCTGGGGTCCCTTTCCTTGGTGAGTGGCCTCTTGAGCAGAGCCCTCCTTGGTTAGAGGTGATGTCCATACAGTGCCATGGTAGTGGAGGAGTGCTTGAGTGAAGAGATGCGGTACCACCAGGGGAGGGAGGCTGGGCTCTGGGTCCCTGTGAGCCCTTGGGGCCTAGGCAGAGGCAAGATGCGGCTATTGCTTCTCTTCTCTGCCATCCAAAATGCTCACGCTGGGCATCTGGCCCATCTGGAGCAGAGGCAGCGATGCCTGGCAGCTTGCTCTGGCTACGGATGTCGCGGTGGCAGAGTAATCAAGCCCGTAGTCCCACAGCTGTCCTGAAACATGATGGAACCTCCCTAAGAAATGAGGTTTGGGGTTCGAACCCTGTGCTCTGGACAGGGGTGGGATTGGGGTGGGAGAGGGTCTCTTATGAAGCACTGTGGTGTAGCTTTACCCTAGCTCCAGAGAGAAGGGTTGCAGGTGAAATGTAGCTACTGAAGGATTCAGTAAGGATGGCTTCCCTCTCTCCCACTGCTGTCCCAGGAGATGAGTCTGGCAGGGGTATTTCTTCATTCCGGACTGCAGGCCTTTGCCTTGTAACGATCAAGCAGTCACTCTGCCCTTTCCTCTGCTCTCCAACAGGCTCTGTGCCCCTGGACCCCCAGCTCAGCCAGAGCTTGGAGGAAGGCAGAGACTTCATCCAAGAGTTTCCCAAGAGCTCTGCCTTCCCTGCCCTCACTCACATTGCCCAGCAGATCTTGGATGGGACGTCCCCACAGAGCTCCTGAAGGTGGTATTGAGGTGGACTCTTGCTGGCTGAGGTCCCTGCCTAACAACACCATCAGCAGTCCTTGCTGGTGGGGAAGGGGGGACGTGGAAGCTGTTTCTCTATGGCACTGCTGCAGTGGAGGGAGGGGGGGGAGCACCGCACTAGTGCCACTTGTGGAGATCCGAAAAGGGAAGTGCTGCTCCATCCCCGCTCTGAATTTGAAGAGGCCCCATGGGTGTGTCTGCTCATGCAAGGGACGCACGTCTGCAGCCTCGTTCTTGCCTTCTAAACGGACAAGTATTCCGCCCGGATGGGTACAGCTGTTCCTAGCCCCGCACACACCGTGCTTTCCTCTGCGAGTCGGTCCGTTGCACAGGTACTTGTGGAGATCCAGATTGTTTCCACAAGGTTTCATATGCTGTGGTGTTTTTGACAGTGACTGAATGCAACTAGCAGCTATGGGGCTCATACCGTTGACTGACACAGTTGTTCCCTGACTAAACCCAAATGGCACAAATAGTCTGTATCTCGCCTCTGCACACTGCTGCCTTCTCTCCTGTTGCTTTCACTGCATGATAGATTATATGGTACTTGTGGTTCAGTGGCTGGTGAGTTTGTGCCAGGTGCTCTGATCTGGATCTGAGCCAAACCACCTCACTCTGAAATGTAAGATCATTGGTACAGAATATCTCTCTGAGGGCATGGCATGTGCTTCATGTGAGGAAATGTCTTTAGGTGATCTACAGTCTGTCTGACATCCTACCCTACTGAAAGAGGCCGTTTCTTGGCCTGCTGGGGCTTGTCATAACTCAGGAATATTTCTCAAGGTTCCAGACAGTAAACACTTTTTCTTAAAATCAGTGTGTGTTGTTTTATGTTTTTTCTATGACTGTGGTGTTCTCTGTAGCTGTGAGTCTTGTTATTAGGAGCATCTCATTTATTTCTAGGGAGTTTCTGCTTTTCCTCTGTGTCCTTGCTAGCTCGGGTACAGGTAAATCTTTCCTCCTTTCATGCCAGCTTTTAAGATCCAGCCGTGGCACTTCTTTGCAGTGTCTTTTGCTGCAGTTGATACTGCAGTTGATGGGGTTCCTTCAGGTCCCCATGTAGGTTCCTTGCTCGTTGGTCTGAGCGTACAATTTCCTTAGGCCTCCTTCCCCTGGCAGCTGCTTTGGGTTTCTCTTCAGGGCCTCAGAACTGGCACTCCTTAAGGACCTACCTTCCTCTTGCAGGCTTGATATAAGTCAAGGAACCTAATGAAGGTGGTGTCTCCGCATCTTACTTCCCCCTTCTGGACTTTGAGCCCATCCTTGGCTGTGTGTTCTTTCCATGCTCTGTTCTGTGCTGAGGACTCACCTTTGCAGGGCTGACTGGGAGGGGACAGAAATCTGATTTTTTCACTACCATGTGGATTATATTTGACAATAGACAATTACAAAGCAATCAGAAAGAGCATCTGTCTATACTGCATACGGTATGCATAGTTAGAACTTGCATCTGACCAGATTTCCTCACTCACAACTTTCTTTCCTGGAAACTTTGTCTGACCTTTGGTCACTTATCTCAGATTTGGAGAGTCTGGCATTAGGGTTGGAGTCTGACCGGGCTGTTAATTTGTCCAGGATTTCTGGATACCTATTACTGCCTGGACCTGTCAGACCCGCAGCGCGTGCTGCTCACCCTGGGCCTGCACTAAGTCCGTTGTGTCCTTGCTGCGACGGCTGCTCTGTGTGCATGTTACCTGCTGTGTTGGCCATGAGCGTCTGTCTAAGAAATCCTGGGTGTTTTTTTTAGATCACTTAACGGATATGTTAAACCTGTGGCAGATGCAACCTGAAGGGGAACCCTAGGAGACATAGGCTTGGCCTGAGCTGGAAGCTGCCCTTTGCATGAACAGAGGGGCCGAGGAGATGGGGGTGGCTGGCGGTAACGACAGCTCTTCTTGCAATGTGGGAAGAGATGTCCAGTGCAAATCCTGCTCTGTAATTGCTCCCAGTGTGGACAAGGTATAACCAGTTGATGTCAGTTCAGACTCTTGGACTCTGAGATCATTGGGCAGTGGTTGCTGGTCCTTACTGGCCGCTGTGTGCGTGATCTAAATGACACTGGGCCCTCCTGTCTCCAAGACCACTCCCGAGGCTTTCCTTTGCAGCTGACCATCTTGCAGAAAACTTGCCGCAGATTCCTCCTGCGCTTTGGGGAAGAAGGTCCAGCCCTTCTCCCCAACGGCAGGGGAACTTACAGGGTGTCGCAAAAGTCTGATGATCCAGAGCTGCACTGTAGGAGTGAGATGTCCAGGTCCCTTCAGCTCTGCAGGCGTCCCCTATGCTGCGGCGGGGAGAAAGCCGGCGAGCAACCGGGTGCTGCGGCTCTGCCCTGCACGCGCTCTGACGCTGGGTAGCTGACAGCGCCCATGCTCTTTGACGCAGCTGTACTGTGCAGAAGCACTGGGGCTCTGATAAGACATCCCAGCTGGGTGCGGCACATGCTTTCAAAAAAACATACTTACAAGATGGGTTGCGATAGCTCCAAAGGTTTATTTGTCTGCTACAATTTACCAGCTAAGTGACGTGCATGGCTTTCTGTAACCTGCCTACATCTGCTATTGCAAAGAATGATTAAAGCAAGTCATCTGCCCACTTTCCTGAACCTATAGGAGAACTCGTGGCTTTTTAGGGTTTTGGTTTTTGTCTCAGCTTCCGTTTAAGCCTGCCAGAGATCACCCATGGGCAGAGGTGAACCTGAGCCCTTACCGTGGTCTTCTCTTACCTGTGGGCTCATGGATGGTTGTGTGGTGGTGTGTCACAGTCTTAGCTTTATTCCTGACTTTGTGCCCCTGGGGTCCTGTTTGTGGATCAAGCTACTGTTTGCTAGCGTCGTACAAGAGCAGTGCTGTGGCTCTGCTGGTGGGATGAGGGGAGCCTGAAGCTTTTCCTATCTGTAGTGCGAGGGTGTTGGGAAAGGCTTGGTGCTGCCTGCTGGTCCGGAGAAAGCTGCACAGCACTGGCATCTGCTGAGTTGGTTCACAGCAGGAAGAAGCTTCATTTCATTGTAATTCCAATAGCGAGTGCTGGAGCCAAGTTTCCTCTCTGCCAGTCAGGATGGCCCTGCTGGGCCTCAGAGGTGCCCCTTGCCATGGCGAGGGCTCTAGTCGGTGGGTAAATGCCTTTCTTTTGCCCCGGAGCGGCTGCCAGAAGCTCACAGACGCTTGGGCTTCCTGACCGGGGTGGGCAGGCAGGCTGGGGAGCGAGTGCGCTAACCAGGGGGCTGGTGTTTAAGTAACTCGGATATTTCAGTTTGAAGCCAGCAAACCCATTTGGGGAAGGTGGTGCCTGTCTCCCCCTGCCCATCCCTGCCTTCCCCTGCAAACAGGCATAACCACATAGCCCAAAGAAGTGGTGACCCCCAGTTACTGTATGCCAATCCCTGCCCTGCACTGGTTCTGCTTAAAATTACATATGTATAGCTCTCTTTATCAGTGCAGCATGGAGAAAGACAGCTAAAGACAGCGGAGAAGCCGGGCTAACCTTGGGCAGTTTGCTTGTGCTGCTGCCCTGGTCAGCCCAGGGTGGGGTCAGGATGGGGAGCGAGGTGCCGGGTAACTGCTGTCCCTGGGACTGCGAAGGGGAAGGTGACAGTTCAGGGCACGCTGCTAGCTTGTGGCTAGGTTTGCACCGTTGCTTACGTTGGAAAGCAGCAAGTCCTCCAGAAAGTGGAGGTGTGTTGTCAGCAGTGAGCAAAGTTGTCCTCACTGGTGTCGCGGAGGTCCAGGCCTGTCATGTTTGGGGGGTGGAGGCAAGTGAGGTTGTTGTAAGTGTACACAGGGACGTGGGAATCGTCCCCCTCCACAACAGACTGCACGAACCGTGGGACCACCACGGGGTGCTGCAAAGAGAAGTCCCGCAGCCCCTTCAGGGAGCAGTTACAGTGCCAGTTGTTCCCCTCCAGCCACAGCTGCTCCAGTGCGAATGAAGAGCACAGAAAACCAACTGAAAAGGTTTCCAGGGAGTTGTTCCTGAGGCTGAGGTATCGCAGGTTCAACAGCGGGGAGATGATGGTATTGTCCAGCGTCTCTAGCTGGTTATTGGAGAGGTCAAGCCAGAAGAGTCTCTGGAGTGGGCTGAAGGTGTTCTGTGAGATCTCCAGGAGCTGGTTGGAGGAGAGAAAGAGGTACTCCAGGTTGCTTAGTCCAACAAAGAGCTTGGGCGAGAGGTGGCTCAGCCTGTTGTGCTTCAGATCCAGCTCCAGGAGCTCATGCAGATTGCTGAAGCTTTGGTCTTCAATCACAGAGATGGTGTTGTGCTGTAAGAACAGCCTCCGCAGGCTGGAGAGGCTGGAGAATGTGTTTGCTCTGATCCTGCTGAGACAGCTGTGCTCCAAGTGAAGGCTGTGCAACTTGGTGACCCCCTTAAAGACGTAGTCAGGAAGAACCTTGATGCAATTAGCAGACAAGTGCATCACTGCAATGTTGTACAACCCTAGGAATGCCCCAACCCTGATATCTTGTATCTGGTTGTTGTTCAGGGTGAGGACCTCTAGCTGGCCCAGCCCATCAAAAGTCCTTTCTGCCAGGCTTCTGATCCTGTTATGTCCTAGCTGCAGCTCCTCCAGGAACTGGAGGTCTTTGAAAGTCCTGGGTCTCAGGCTGGTGATGGAATTGGTGGATAAACGTAAGACATGCAGGCTCAGGAGACCCAAAAAGGTGTCCTCAAACAGTGAGACAAGACGGTTGTGGGAGAGATCTAGCCACCGGAGGGACTTCATGCCCATGAACGCACGGGGCGCGATGGCGTTGATCTGGTTGTGGTTCAAGTACAGCTTCTGCAGCTTCTGCAGCTTGACAAAGATGTTGATCTTGATTCCCTTGAGAGAGTTCCCGCTCAGATCCAGCTCCTTCAGCTCGGTAAGGCTGCAGAAGAGCTGGTGCTGCAGGTAGGGGAGCTTGTTTCCAGCCAGGATCAGCTCCCTCAGGTTAGGTAAGTCATGGAAAACCTTGTCGGGCAGGACCACGAGTGAATTCCAGCCCAGGTTCAGATACCACAGGTTGGAGAGCCCAGCAAACAGCCCTTCCTCCACTTTGCTGAAGAAGTTGTTGTTGAGGCTCAGGGACACAAGGTTTTGGGTGTGAAGGAAAGTATGGGGTGCCAAGTACTTCAGCCGGTTGCGTTCCAGGTGGAGGTGGTAGAGGCTCCTCAGCCCATGGAAGGCATGCTGCTCCACACCAGCCAGCTGGCTGCTCTGCAGATCGAGGAAGTCCAGGCTGGAGAGGTTTCTGAACGCTGCGGCTGGCAGCAAGGTGAAATTGTTGCCATCCAGCCAGAGGGCTTTGGCATTGGCAGGGACATCCTCTGGAAGATGGGTGAGGTTGCGCGTGCTGCAGAAGACGTTGAGCTCCTCGCTGTAGTCATCGAAGCTGCAGGCGCACAAACTGGGGCATCGCAGGGGCTCTGCACCCGGCTGCTCCTTCAGGGCTTCTCCTTCTGGCGGCTGCGACGCAGCTGCCAACAGGGCCAAGGGGAGCAGGAGAGCGATGGCTGCTGTGGAGAGCAAGGGAATAGAAAGCATTAGCTGAGCAAGCATGGCACGAGGTGGCAATGGTGAGGACGGTGTTTCTTACTTGCAGGATGATGGCTGCCGTAGGAGACAACGTGGAGTCAGGAGGGTCCTCCTGGCCTTCTTGTGTCCTAGGAAAGTCATCTGCTGAACAGGCATGAACGTGGAATTGCTGGC